AATAATAATAATAATAATAATAATAATAATAATAATAATAATAATAATAATAATAATGTCTTTGCAACATTATTATCATCATCATCAGTAAAATCTTCAGGAAAAAAGAAACGTTCGCATTTACGTCATATATTTCCATTAGCTAATGTAAATATTAACAATAATAATAATAATCATATAAATCCAAATGAATATTCATCACCAATATCATTTATTATTGAACAAAAACGTTCATCACGTGCACCTATTCAAATAATTGAACAAGATTTAGGTATATTAGATAATCATCATATTAATCGTCGTTCAAGACCAAAATCTGCTTTACCATCATCATCATCTATAAATGAAAATAGTGCATTTCATATTGTTCATAATCCAATTAATAATCATATAAATTTACAACATCAACAACAACAATATATAGCTTTATTAAAAGTGCTTAAATCACAAGAAATTCAAGCTGAACAACAACAAAAAGAAATAAATGAAAAACAAAAAGGTTCGAAAGAAGGAAAAAAAAGAAGAAAAAAAAATGTATATTTCATAAATTTGTTTTAGAAATTGATTATCGAGAAAAAAATCTTCATCAAAAAGATATTGATTTTCAATATCATTTACTTAAAGAACATGATTATCGTCTTACATCAGAATGTCAAATATATACAGAAGAATATTCTATAAATGAATTAGATAAAGAATTAGAAATTGAAAAAAAATTACATTCAAATTATGAACATTTACAAAAACAAATAACTCGTTGTTCAACAACATTAGAACAAAAACGACAATTACAAGAACAAATTCAATTAAATGTGGAAAAAACACATGAAGATATTGAACAAATACAATCAAATATTAATAATGATAAAAAGGTTTGAATTATATAACATTGACTAAAATTACAATATAAAAAATAAACCAACGTTAGTGTGATAGTATTTCCGTTATGATATAAAACGTAGTTGCATGTTAGTCAGTATGCTCTTCACTGAAATTCGATAATTTGCATTTCAGTCATTTTTCTTTCGATGACTGAAGCTTTTGGTGACACTCTGAGATGATAGTTACAATTTTATATCTGATGAATATTCAGAAAGAATGAATATAAGAAATGTTTGCCGAAACGAAACTCACGAATATAGATGATCGAAAGAAATTTGGCAGTCTTCATTTAGATGAAATTCATATCGATGACCTCCTGTTTCGACGATGAGGTACACAATCGATGACAACTAAGATAAATCTTTATAACTTTAAGCCTAAAAGACAGATGTAGTTTCTTTTGAAGAGATGGCACATCTTTGATCTTATCTATAGAAGAGATAAGTTCATTTCTCTGATGTGTATCCTCTATTATCTCTTCATCTATCTTTCACAATCATCAATTTCTGTACGTTGAACAGTACTATATTATATACATTCATTTATGAATTCACTCAGGATCTAATTATATCATTATTATCTGATAAATACATTTTTGTAGTTAAAAAAATCTTATTATTTATTTTGATAGAATGTAAATTTTCATTGTCCGAATTATTTCAAGTTAAGTCTATTTATCAAAATGATTGTTTTTATATAGAGCTTGACTCATACTCATTATGTTTAAGATTGTTCATCTTCTGAAATTCTTTCTCTATTGATATATATTTTTGTAGGATATAAGTCAATATCAACATGAACTAGAACGTTCAAATGCTACACTTAATCAACAAGAAGATTTAGTACGTATATTAACTCAACGTAATGATGAAATTGAACGAAATCTTCAACAACGTCGACAACAAATAAATGAACTTGAAAGTGAATTAATCAAATTAGAAGATTCAATTGTTAATAGTAAGTTTAATAATTGAATAAATATGTTCTAGTTAAACATTTCCTATATAAATTTTAGCCAAGTTATAAATAAAACTTAGACGAGGTTTGTTTCTTTTTTTTATTTTTGTTTTAAGCTTCAAAATTTTCATCAATCACATTTTGTACATATCACATAAATACACACATAGAATTTATTTAATCTTTAAAACTAATTTTGTCTTTTTTTATTACTTTAAGGTCTTATACATCCTAGTTATAATTTCCGTCCAAATTCATCTACTCCACAACATTATAATTCATTACCATTAACAAATTCACTTTTACCATCATCTACGGGTACAACAACAGATGCTCTTATGCCTATTCGTTTTCAATTAGTGAATAGTACTTTATGGAAATTATGTCCAAGTGGGATATGGGTTTAGAAAAAAAAAAATCTTTTTATTATGTGTATCAGTTATTTTTTTAAATATTTGAAATGAATAAAGAAATATTCGACTGTTTTAGTATCAAGTATAATTAATAATTTAATTGAGAAAGTTAGATATATTGAAATTTTTATCTATGTACATTTGATATACAATATAAGTTAAGTCATGAAAGGTATAAATGTGTTAATTAGGATATAATGCAAAGCAAACTAATCATAAGAAATGATTGATATTGATGTTGAACAAGATATTTCTAACAAGAATATAATACTATTTATCTTGAATATACTATCATAATTAATTATGTAAATATTTATCTACTTAGGACAATAAAAAATTATTAGCAGTAGCACTTTAGTATTGTAAAGAAAGCTTGAGGGAACTTTCTCTCTGTATATACTGATAGTAAAAACAATACTTTATATTTTTGTAATATTTCATCATTCTTCAATTACTATAATAATTATAAAGTTTCAATCAGAGCTATTTGTTAAGATAAGTGACTATTACATTAATGATCATTTCAAAGAAGAAGACACAATTGAATATTTTTTGCATTATTCTTGATATAAACTAGGTAGAGAAAGAGAAGATGAAGACCTATCGAATTCTACATTACAGGTTTTTCTAGTATGCTTTTTGAAATTTAAAAAACAAAATTACAGGAAATGTGTTGGTTACTGGAGCTGCTAGAGAAATGAACTTATGAGCGAACATTTCTAAGTGTCAAATTGTTTTTGAGTCGGGCCTATGTGCATCATGAAGATTCTAATGAGCTATGAATAC